AAAACTGCGGGGAACTCTGCAAAAAACGCATCTTCGCACGGGCAGCCCGTGCTTTGGCCATTTATTTAAACTGTATTTCAAACCGCAAGAATAAACCAGTCCTGTTTGGTTTGTTGATTCATTCCAAAAACAAATTATTTTTCTTGTGTATGGCACTGCAAAACAGGGCATTCCTCGGAAAGAAAGAATTGATTTACCAACGAGTGATTGAAGCAGTCATCCTGTTAACTTCCCGTGTATTTCCCTCATACACAGAAAATGAAACACTGCGAAATTTTGATCCCGAATTTTGCTGTAAATAACATTTCATAAACAATTATGCTGGAGTCCTTTTTATTTCTATAGGGAATTCTTCCACATTATAAAAAATACCAAATCTCTCAGGGCAATCACTTCGAGAATTCCATGTAAGTGATGTTACTCCTGCACGCCGGTTACAGCAATGCCGGGTCCTTCGATCTTGAGCTGCTCGCCTCAAGTTAGTTCCCGTCATTTGTTCATTGTGTGTACGCTGTTTCTTCCATGGAAAGAAGTGTGAAAAATGCTAATTGATTCAGAGCAAAAAATGAAATACAGTCTATTGATGATTTCGTGGATGTTGCCTGTGATCGATGGAGTAGAGGATGCCAATAAATTGTACGAAGATCTGCTCGGTGACTACAATAAGCTTGACCGCCCGGTCAGCAATGTTAGCGAGACGCTGGTGGTCAGATTTAAACTGAAACTGTCACAATTACTCGATGTGGTTAGTACCACTTTACTAAGCTTGCAGATTTTCTGCAAAATTTATGAATGTCTTTAACTTGCTTTTTTATGAGCGATTCTTCCCCGAACTATTGTATTTTCCATCCACATTTTCTTTCTTTGTCTCCTTTCATTATTGTGTTTCTTCACTTGATTTGCCCATTTAATTCATATTCTTGTAAGCATTTGCTCTCACCTGCTACCGGTTGCCTTTATGTTGATTTCCTCTTAGCAGATCCAATAGAATGATACCTATGTTTTGGCTAAATGCTGTTGGGAAAGGTGTAATGGAAATTACAGTAGTTGTCGTACAGTAGTTCGAAGGTTCGATTCTGATACTAGAAACACCAGTCCCTCTACAATTCATTCATTCACTTCGATGGTAAATTGGCACTGGATCAATCAAATACACCATCAGCTTGCTTGTAAACAATACACAACAGAAAGAGCCATTACCAATTTTGCCAGCGAGCAGTTACTGTTGGTAATTGCTACCACTAGCACTATTGTCCGAGTAAGTCAATACCTTTCACAAAAAAGAACACCGAAGGGCATTGTCTTTTGTTTCGAAAATGATTTGGCTAACTGAAATAAATTTCCAGCACGAAAAGCATCAAATACTAACGACCAATGTGTGGTTGCAGCAAGTAAGTTTTTGATTTAAAACGTGATTTGAATGTGGTTCATAACCACTTACCTGTTATATTATTTTAAAAGTTTTGGAATTGTAATTTTCTTATCTGGTGACATGAGCGTATTTCCTAGAGTTGGAAAGATTACAAACTGCGATGGAATCCGGATGATTATGGGGGCATCAGCGCTTTATACGTCCCATCCGAACTCATTTGGTTGCCAGATATTGTTCTCTACAACAAGTATTTTTTGGCTATTTCTAGCTCCGATAAAAAAGCGAGTGATATTTGGGCGTGATGAAGGGATTTGAGCAGCAAACTCGAGAGTTTGGAGATTAAATGTGCATAGAGTGGTAAAGAAGAAGAGTAATTTATAAAAAAAATGTATAGCCAGGGACGGAAGGCAAGCACCTGAAGGGTAATGTTTTGGTCCGCTAACTCGCATATGGTTGTAAGATTATTTTTTTTTGTAATAGCGGTTTTAGAGTAAAAAGAATTTAGTGTTAGTCCTAGTAAACACGCACTGTGTATATTTTTTAATAATTGCTCGCTAGATTTAGGCAATTCATCGCAAAGCATAGAATTCGTAATAATATAAGACGATCGAAATAATTTCATTTATAATTAAGCATAGCTGATAATCCCTTCAGAAAACTAATGATAGGCGAAAATGGACAGCAGGCTGACCACCAGATGAAGCAGCATTGGTCAGTGGATTAGAAAATTTGTTAACTGTGTAGTTGCTGATCACCTGTGAGATGTAGCTGACCAAAATGTTGCGCACAATGCAACTCTGATTATTTCGATGAATTAAAGTTTATTTCTGATTAATTATTTTGGTGAACTGATAAGCAAAAATTCCCGAGGGCTATTTACAGCGCTGATGGTAATTATCAAGTATCAATTATGACCAAAGCAAAAATTTCATCAGATGGAACTGTTGAATGGTCACCACCAGCTTTCTACAAAAGGTTCGCATCCATAATTTTTAAATCAAATTTACTGGTGGTTGTAGCAAATTTGTTTATACTTTGACCAATGTAGCACTGCCCGGTGATCAACTTGCTCGTTTTCGTTTCGTCTTAAAAGATTACCAAACCAGTGATTCACCCAGTGAAATCGATTGGCTAGGCTTTACTTTTTCAAATTTTACTGATGTACACTGAGTTGCACCACCTTTTCCTGAAAGTCAGTTCTAGACCATGATGAGACATATTGGTGCGAATTAATTTAGAACATGCGTAAAATCTGTTTTATAGCGGATATGTGCTTTCCATTTTCAGCACTTGCCAAATTGACGTTGAATGGTTCCCATTCGATGAACAAACCTGCGAAATGAAATTTGGTATGCTCTTAATTACTGTCACGCATGAAACTGACGGTGGCACAGACCAGTGTTGTAGCCATATATATTTTTTTCGAAACCTTAAACTACTGCTGTCTCATCGTTCGACCCCTCAGACCTCTGGTTGACACCAGGCAATCTTGAAAACATGCTAAGGATGTCAGCACTGGGCGAAAAGAACCAGTTGAAAGCCCAAACAGAGCTTTGTGGTCGTGGCGAACATAGAACTGTAAAGATTTTTGAAATTCCAAACAATTCTTGCCTCATCGTTAATCCATCGGACTAATGATTGATATTAAAGCGTAAAACTCGAAAGCTGTCAGTGGGCGATGCTATGCTTGCCTAAGTTACTGAGGCTTCGACAGACCCAGAATCGAGAAGAATGGAATTTTTACCAGTTGCAGCCGTGGAAGGAAGTAAATTTTGCTCACCAACAATTGGTGAAGGTGGTCTGTCGAATCAAATAGCCTGACATAGCCTTCGGTTTTTTTCTATTTTTTTAACAAAATTCAGACGAAATCAAGACACCCTTTATATTTCGCTGCCTTTGAGAGGCACAGACATTCGAGAAATAAACCAATTGGTAAAAAATGCCAAAAGCAACCACTTATTGACAAAGCAGATTATGATTTACAGCTAATCCAAGCAATCTTACTAATTATGCATGCACAGGTGATTTATAATTTGTTACTTATGCATCATTTGCTGCGCTTTAATAATTAGCCCTAGTGAAATAAGTGTAAACTCGGCACTATTCGATTTTAATAATTCCATTGATTATTTATGCGCAAATGATCTGCACTTTCTTACTAAACTAACGCGTGTATTTAGACTTCATACTAAAAATATGAGTATCGCGCCGTTATGTCCAAAATATATGGTTGGAATTTTTACAGGATCTTGGACTTACGGTGGCTTGGAAGTGGATTTACAACATAAGGATTCACAAATTGCACGTGCGGAGACAGAAGTTGTGCTCGGAATTGATGGAGAGCACGAGGAATTGGTTTGGGTTGTTGATGAAGGTTAGCAATGAATCAGTTTCTTTCCCAATGATAACGAATGCTCTGGAATATTCTAGCTGAGATTTGAATTGAGTCGAAGTTTGGATACTGTAGGTCACGGTGGTGGTGTGGACTGCGGGTGATGGTCTTAGTAAACGAAGAAATATGCGGACTGGCTATTTGGTTAAACAGAATCTCTATAAATAGTGACTTTTTGCTAAAAAGCGAGTGAGATTCTTGCAATTCTTGCAGTAAGCTATAGAGAGCTTGAAGTCAGTGAATGCTACAGAGCGAGCAGCATAAAATTTTTACGCACGAACGATGCAAAAACACTTATTTAAAACGATTTTTTAGGTATAGATCTAAGTGATTATTATCCGAGTGTGGAATGGGATATCCTGGGCGTAGCAAGCAGACGTCACGAGAAAAAGTACGGCTTCCTATTTTGAAGCAGTAAATTTGAAACTGAAGTTTTGGTGGTTTATAATAAAGGATTGTGAAAAAAGATAAAAATGGAAATTTTAATAAAATAAATTAAAATCTGCATGGGAATGTTTCGGCCCATCAAGCCGTATACATTCCTATTCAGTGCTGCAACTGGACCTCGTCAGTGCGACGGTTGCAGCGGAAATATAGGCAACGTACAATGTGCTGAAGGAAAGTGAAGTGAAAAATGAAAGTTAAACATTGAAAATCGAAAAATGAAAAATCCAAAGATAAAAAAGGTTGCATGTGGAAAGGTCTGAGCTCTACCGTAGCAGCATCTTTGGCAAAATGCGTGTTATGCATGTGGAGAGGCCCGAGCTCTAGCGTAGCTGCATCTTTTGGTCACCAGAAATTCAGAATTGTCCTTCGCATTTCTCATGCCGATTTACTGCCCTACACCGGCTGGGTGACCAGTGAGATACTGGTAGCCATCGCCGCAATAAATATAGAACGCATAAAATGAAGCAGTTTGATTAAAAATTGAAATTCCCCTGCGTTTTTTTAAGTGGACGAAACTTTAACGTTTGATGAGAAATGGTCCCACGAAGTAAGTTCTCTCCCCCTTGCAAGCTTCTATCGTTTTCCCATTTCCGACTTTAGTACTATTCTGTTTGATGGAAAGCAGCCCATTTGCAAGCGAGAATGGGCTGGAAGAGGAATGAACCGCTTGTTTTCATTATCTCCGGATCCTTCGAATTGTGGCGTGTTATCCAATACTTATAACTGGTTGTATCTCACTCGCACACACATCACTCAATATTTTCAGTTTTGTCATCATATCCAACTCATACATTTCAGTTTTTGCTGGCTTTTTGTGGGAATTCCGCAAATGCTACAAGATTTTTGTTTGTGACAGAAGTATTTTGTTTTTTGTAAGCTATAGGCGGTGAGTCAAACCTAGAGAATGTCTAAAATTTTGAGTTACCTTAAAGGGCGATTTGCAGATATCCGTGCTGCAAATCTCCGTTCATTGATCTTACCTACGAATTAAGGCTACGTCGCAAAACACTCTTCTACACAGTTAACTTAATTCTGCCCATTGTGAGTATCAAGTGAGTTGCTTTTCTTTTCTACTTTTGTAATGCAGAATTCCAATAATTTTGTTTTTCGGCTTCAGAAAAGCCGGTGCATCCGGAAAATTCGTAAAATCGATTTGCTTTTAAAATATTGAAATTTTTGGGACAAAATTTTGTTGAAGAACAGGTTATAATTTGACGGCTACGGCGCAGTGAGAAGTATTGCTTCTGTTATGCTGAATGGCGGAGTTTAATTCCATCAGTGGGCAGCCAATTGTTCTGCAGTTCCTTTATTCGTTTCGATGGTAAATTGGTACGAGCATGTGCCAAAAAGCTAAATTCATCATCAATTTGCTTTAAGTAATTTCTAAGGAAAAGAATTTTGGTCAATTTTGGTTAAGTTGCTGCTAGCAGCTGACACCATTCAACTTGTTTGCTGGGTGATTCCGCTTTTGAAATGCGAATAGGGAGGGGATTTTGAAATTGCAAGATATTAGTTATTGTTACGGTTCCTTTGTTCTTTCAGCTTTCTAACTGTGCTTGTATTTTATCTTCCATCAAGTGGTGGAGAACGAATTCCATTATCGATTACAATTATGATTTCACTAACAGTTTTCTTCCTTTTGTTAGGTAAAACATTTCTTATGCCCTGATCTAGGACGTGGTGTCGAGTTAGACCCGTATTTCCTGACCTTGTTCAAAGTTTAAAAGATTACTGTCTCCTTTAAGCGATGGTTTAGCAAAAGGGATTAGAATAGTTTTTATGCGTTTTTGCATATATGCAAATTGCAAAAACGCATGTTGGGAAGAGGCTGTCTGTGTGTGTG